CAGGCTTAATCCCAAGACCCCAAGATCATGACTTGAGCTGAAGACAGACAATTTTATCTGACTGAGCCACCCAAGTGCCCTAGGAATAATAATTATAATTACTGCCATCATGGATGGCTGCAAGGATTAAAGAGATTGTGAACACACTAACATAATATGTATTGTGTATTATACAGACACATATATGTATAAATTAAAGAAGTGTATGGTAATTACAATGTGTCAAACCTTCCAGTCTCCCTCACAGCCTAATCCAAAAACAGCAGCACCTCGTAGTCAGAATTTTTCTTTATATCTCTTTGAAATCCTTATTCTAAAGCTAAAACTCAATGGAGTAGAAATAAGAAGAATATAGCTTTACATAATTAACTAATGGCCCAATATGTGAAGAAAGAGCACTTCATTTTTAGCAAGTCTTCTATCTACCATTTCTTATCATCCTTACTAGTCCCTCATAAGACCATACTAGAGCTCTCTCTCTCTCTTTTTTCTTTTAGAAAAAGATTTCCTTATTTTAGAGAGCATGTGTATATGAGCAGAGGTAGGGGCAGAGGGAGAGGAAGAGAGACAGAGAAAGAAGCAGACTCCTTGCTGAGTGCAGAGTTCAATCTCAGGACACTGAGATCATAACTTGATCTGTAATCAAGAGTCAGATCAAGCCCAAACCTTCAAAGGTTAGTTGATGTTACTTAAGTTACTTCACCAAAGAGCACTTACTACCACAGGGTGTTTTTACAGCCTCCATAATTCAAAGAGATAAATCTCTAATGATAGAATTTAAGCCAATAATATAAAGTGTTTTCAGCAAGCCCCCTCTCTCTGCTCTCTCTTCCTTCCCCTCTTCTACTCTCCCATTCAAGTTTATATTTCACCTACTTAAATATACCTGAAAACTTCCAATTATAAAAATCACTAACATTTCCAGTGTCCAGTCCATTTTCACAGCATCTAAGATCTGTGTCAAAAAAGTTATTTGTTGACTTCATTCCTCCCAAGGAAAAATCAGAAGGTACTGAATCCCTCCATTGTTGTTCTTTGTGCAATGGAGGCTGTAAAAATCACAAGAAGGAATGTGGAACCTTTCTTACCTAAAATTAGCTCATCCGAGAGAATGGTCAAGTTGGAAAAGAGCATGGTACAGTGAACCCCAAATTTAGAAAAAGTTCTGGTATGTATTGATGTCATTAGCTGTTATCTCAAAGCAACCATTTTTGGGAGGTCCATATGATCAACATTTATGTAAATCCTAATTGCAAATGATCATGATAATTTTATTTTTTTCTGATTTCTCATTCTTTTAAAAAAATTGTAATGTGTGCACATCAGTCTTTATAAGTGGTGTCATTATTGACACTTTTGGTCAGATAATTCTTTGTTGTGGATTCTGTCCTATGCCTTCTGGGATGTTTAGCAGCATCCCTAGCCTCTATCTGCTGGATACTTGTGGCACCTCCCCAGTTAGGTCAGTAAAAACTATCTTCATGTATTGTTAAACTTTTCTTGGGAAGGAAAGTCACCCCTGTTGAGACCAGTGGCCTAAAGGAATTCATTAGAACTTGTGTGAAATGGGTTCTTTCAATGTGAAGTTTCTTTGTAGAGATATTTTAAAGCTTTTATCAACTTAGAGAAGTTAGATTGGTAAAAGAAGATATTTTAATCCTGGTAGATACATTCACCAGACAATGGTAAACTGCAGTATTTAATCACATGGTGTAAAGAAAAAGTTAAGGAGCCACTGTCAATCTCTTCTGACTATGGTATTCCCATTTTTACCTTAGGAAGAGGACTAAGTATATGGAGATACCAGAGATAACTATCCAAGAATAAGGAGGGTAGGGTGCTTACACACCAACTTCTCTAGGCATTGTTTAAAGATTTCTTCTGGGTCACAGGGAGGGTGTTAACTTCTGGTTCATTATGCAGTGGGGCAGGAGAGGAGTGGGCTCTGGCCATTAACTCATATGGTGAGAGTTTCAGCTTGCTTGTCCTAGAATGGTAAGGATGGTAGGAATATGGGCAGAGTGAAAACAGTGTCTGCTATAATCCTACTAACAGATTGAAGGAATTGGTCCATGTATAAGAACCAAAAAATAACTGAAAGAATAAGATAAATGGAAAGCTGGCTAAAAACCATAGGTGGAACAATTGCCTGAGAACAGGATAACACTTTATGTTAGGACTCTGGAAGGAAGATGGAAAAGATGACTGAAAATATAGACTTATGGGTTTGATGATAGGAAGGTATAGGAATGGTATTTGCTCTTTTTTTTTCTCTGAGATAGTGTTATCCTTAGAACATGATGATCTCCAGTAAGTTAGGAAAACGAGGTTTGTAATGGCCACTAGGGGAAATGGGAGATAAGTTGAAGAAATATGAGCAGCATTTAAGAGTTTAGCTGAGACAAAAATCCAAAAATTTGTGGTGGCACCAATGTTATGGACTCTTGGATCATTTCCAACAGTACTCAGTAGATATGATACGGGGTAGAAAATGCAAATTGTAAGATTCATTCACTTATTGAATAAATGTTTACTGAGTGCATAATATGCAGTAAGCACTCATTGCTAGAGATAAAACAGTTAACAGACAAATTACAAATAAGCACAATTCTATAATTTTGTAGAGCTTACATTCTGGAGAGAAAATACAGAAAATAAATAAGATCAGCAAATTAAGGTATAGTACACTAGTGATAATCACAGAGAATGAGGATCTTGAGTGCTGGGCTTTAGAGGAAGTATCATTTTAGATAGTGTGGGCAAGGCATCTCTGAGAAGGTGTAATTTGAAAGAAAAAGTAATTGAAAGAGGTGAGCAATTGAGCCATATGGATATCTGTGAAGCACGTTTCAGGTAGAGGGAAGAGCAAGTGCGAAAATCCTAAGAGGAGGATTGGAGTATGGCTAGCATGTTGAGGAATGGCAAGGTTATGTGATGATTGGGCCAGGATGAACAAGGGCTAAAGTGGTTTAAATTGAGGTCAGAGAGAGAGAACAGATTTTGCGGTCCACCTTCTATAAAGAGTTATATTTCATGGCTTTTAGGCTGATTGAGTGCTGGAAGTTTTTGAGGGAAGATGAAGTATGAGGACTAAGGAAGAAAAGAATTAAGAATTTTGGTAGGGATCCCTGGGTGGCGTAGCGGTTTGGCGCCTGCCTTTGGCCCAGGGCGCGATTCTGGAGACCCGGGATTGAACCCCATGTCGGGCTCCCGGTGCATGGAGCCTGCTTCTCTCTCTCTCTCTCTCTCTCTCTCTGTGACTATCATAAAATAAATAAAAATTTAAAAAAAAGAATTTTGGTAAAAGCATACTTTAAATCATCACTGAAAAGGAAAGGAAGTCTAAGAGTAAGGAGATACAAGAGAAGAGAAGAGAATCAAGAAAAAATGAAGTTAAAGGAGAAAAGAGTTTTTAGGAGGACAATATACTTATTAATGGTAGGTGTAACATTTATTTAGCACCTGCGATGCGCCAGATACTTTGGGTATTATCTCCTTTAAATTTGCCACTTACCTGGTACAGTAATCAATATTATTATCCAAATTTTACAGATGAGGAGATTGAGAGACTAAGCCAAAGACACATTGCTAGTCAATGGTGAAACAAGGTTTTGAGCTCCATTAGCCTGACTCCAGTTAGTAATAGTGCTAAATGCCACAGAAGATTCTTGTATGATAATGATGGACACAGGTATATGGGAATTGGATGTCAGGAGGTCATTGGTCATAGGTAGTGAGAATGTTGACAGGACTTTGTTGTGGTTTAGTGTGAATGACAAGGAAGTCTTTACTTGATATTTTGGGATTGGACAGTCAGGGTGATTATGGAGAATGATGCCAAGATGTATAAATTTGAAACAGAAAGGATAAAGGGATTTATGATAGTTTATAGCCAGAAAGAAAAGGGCAAGAAAGTGAAACAATGATGTGTGAGTCAGATAATTTATGGGGCAAAGTCAGGCAATAAGTCTGAGGGGTTGGAGTTATGAATTAGACCTAGAGAAGACCCTTGTTTTACAAGAAATTAACTGAGGACCAGAGAAGCAAATTGTGAACCCAAATCATAAAACCAATTAAATAGTAGCCAGGGACCAGAGTCCAGGTTTTCTGATTGTCAAGAGAAGTTCTTTCCATTAGGCCACTCAGCCACTCTTGCTGAATCATCATTCACTGGTTACTTATCCCCAGTCCAAGGGAGTTATTGTAGTTAATGAATAGACACAGTACAAAAACCACTGTAAATGTACAGTTCCATAGAAACACTAAAGACATCATGACCTTTGGGTTTCCTCATGACTCACTCCTTCCCCCCTGCAATTTTGTAGCACAAAGATGGACTTTTCTTGACTATAAAATGGCTTTCAGATACTGCAGGTTCCTACACTGATGCCAAGTGGGGACTCCAGTGAAAGGAACTAAGGTCACCCTCAGGGAATTTCTAGCTGAATTAGGCTCCACTAAGCCTTGAAATAAAAATTCTTCTGGTAGGGAAATGGGGTACAGATGAGAAATCAAGCCAGTGTGTGACTGGGCATGATTTAGAGCAATTGTTATTGATATGACAGATCCTAGCAGGCAACCTCATGAAAGCCTGGATTTTAGTTGCAGTGCAAGTAGGTGAAATGAATAATTGTGTTTTTGACTTTCCAATTTCCTACACCTTGCCAGTGGTTATTGCAGACATAATTTGGGCCATGTGTATTCCACAGAGGTTTCTGATTTAAGAATCTAGAGGGTTTTTTTTGGGGGGGGAGGCAAGCAATATTCAATGTATTTCATCTATGCATAAGATTTTTTGTATTTATTTTTATGGTGATGGATATTTTTGGCATGATATAAAACGTTAGACATTTTTAACTTTGAAGGAATGACAAGGGTCTATTTTTAACACTTACATTATCTTGGGCAAACATTAAAATTCTTGATTAATGTTTAACTATAAGAAGTACACTCAAGAATCCATTTCAGGATTCAGGCTGAGTTGTCTTGAAAATTTGAATTCAGACTCCAAGGAGAAGCCCCGAAACCAAGGGTATTGGCTATAACAGAAAGTGGAGCCTTACCTGGCATCTAGAGAATGTGGACTGGATATAAGATCTTAATCTTTTCCTATCTTACCACAGAAATTTGGATGGAGAAACGGTATGTATCTCAAAGAGAAGCGAACCCAGGAACTGCTTTTACTAGGAATCATACGATTTTGGAAGGTACTCGATTCAAGAGAGCCATTTTCAAAGGGCGATACTGCAGAAGTTTTGGTTGTTGTGAAGACAGAGATGATGACTGTGTCACTCATTTCTATGAGGCAAATGCACTATGTTACTGTGATAACTTCTGTGAAAGGGAAAATTCTGATTGCTGTCCTGATTACAAGTCATTTTGCCATGAAGAGAAAGAAAGGCCTCCTCACATAAAGCCTTGGGATCCAGAAGGTAGGCTTTGGGAATGTGCTTAAATGATTTCCTGGTTCATTACAAGATCTGTCAAACTGTCTTTCCCTCTCCTTCCTTCATACTTTCCTTCCTATCTTAAGAGGAGGTGAAAAATGAATATTATGATTAAGTAAATTTTCTTGGACTGTTAACGTGCTTTGCTTTAGATGCAACATATCTGCATCCCACTAGTACCTTTAAGAAAGTTCCAATGTGCTGGCTGTGGATGCTGGTCTGGATCCTGTTGTGAATACTGTCTTAATGTATATAGGGTTACTTAAAACCCTCCCTTCTTTCCTTCCTTCCTTCCTTCCTTCCTTCCTTCCTTCCTTCCTTTGTAAAATGTTTTGACAACAGGACTCTTAAGCTCTTTTGAGTGTAACCTTTTAGGGAATCTCATCAGTCACAGGCCTGATCATCTGCAGATTAGTCTAACATTTTGCTTATTACGTCTTATGACTAGTGGACCTCCTGGCATTAGAACCTGAGGTATATCAATGCCATTAATGCCAGTGCAAAAGCAAAACAAAGTCAGCTAGCAACCTGCCTAAGTAATACCAAATAGATTTTTCATGTGTATTTTTGTTTCATTTCATTTTGCTAATCTGGGATTTTTTAAACTATTGAAACAAAGGAAAGCCTCCTAAAGAGTAATTGTAAAAGTCAAAGACTGAGTGGATAAGTACAAATAATTCATAGGGAGAATGTTGGTATTCACTATATTGGTCTAATTATAGGAGAATGGTTCTGGATTCTGAGCAATCAATGCATCCAAGATTCGCAACAAAACACAAAGCAACACTCTTTTGCTATACTTAACTAAAGCACTTTTTTTTTTATTGCCCATCACATCAAATTTCTTCAGCAGAAATGTAGGTATAATCAGAGCTCTGTAACACTAATGTAAATGAGTGATGGTGACCAGAAATTTCAGTTGAAGACAATTTAGGATTAGCTAGGATTTGGCATCTTTATTTAAAATCCAGATCTCATTTCAAAATCCAGATCCATCGCCTTCATTCACAATAATGTCATCTTGCTTGTAAAACTGAGGAAATGCTTCTTAAAACGTGTATGTATTATGTTAAAATTTCCACAGAACTGTCATTTATCCCAGACCTTTGCCTCTACCAATATATAGCCCAGAACACATTAAACGTCTATTTTCTCCTGAAAAGTGGCAGATCCTTTACTAAGAATGGGGAATCTAGTCATACATCAAAAAATATTCATTGAATATATTCACTATGCCAGGCATTGTACTTAGTGCTGGGACACCAATGGGGAAGAAAAAGAGAAGATCTTATTCTCTTTGGAGGGATGGTAAAGTTGCCAGGGTGAGGGTAAGATATTAACGAATTCATCGTGCAGTTGCAAATCATGATAAATTCTCTGAAGGAAATATTTAGGGTGCTGTGAGAGTATATCAGAATGTAACATTAACATATAAAATATACCATCAGCCTGAGGGGAGTGTCAGTGAGGATATTTCACACAATACTCCAGGAGTGCAGAGAAATGAGCTAACTTAAAGGAGAATTGGCAGAAAGTTGTTGTAGATCTGGGGGCTCGGAGCTTAGCTTGATTCAGGGGTTGGAATGTGGTCAACATTTCAGGAGAGTAATGTTTAACAGAGGGTCGGAGGGTGACTTGAGATGAGATTTGAGAGGTGAGTAGAGATCGGATTATGCCAGGATGTACAGGCTGTGCTTAAGATTTGAGATTTTATTCTGTAATGAGGACTCATTGAGAGATGTCAAGTAGGAATAGTGTTGGCTTCAAGGCTGTTGAGTCTCAGTATCACATGTAAGCTGTAGTGCTTTTGATTTGCTACAATGTATTGAAGTTTTTCTTATTTGAGACATACAGCTCATTTAGAAAAGTAATTGCTACTTCTTCGATGTCCATTTTTGTTTGAGAGCTAGAATTTTGCTATGACTTTAATTTAGGGTAATGTTTTAGGTAGAACTTATGTTCCAGGTATAGTTTTTATTTCATTCATTATGAAGGGAAGCAATTAATCATTTTACTTAGTAGCAAAAAGTTCACATTAGACTATAATTGCTCTTATGAAGGTAATTTGTTTTCTTTTGTTTTATCTTGTGAAAGTAGCTAGTCAGAAGAAAATAGCACCACACAACACTAAAAATTGTGCAAAATTAAAATAAAAACACAATGGTATATTATTTAAACCAATTTTTGTATGTAGAATCTGACTTCCCTTTGAGATGCTAAGTTGTTCATTCACTGTTCTACTAAATATTATTTTTCAGTTATCTAATTACATGGTATTCTCTGGTTCTTTATACTGCAACTGTGTCAAGAGCTCTTTTTAAACCAGTGACTTAAAACTATGTACACCATCTTAAGTATTATAAAAGTAATTATGTCCCTTTTGTATAAACTGGAAGTAGGACATATCTTCCTTCTGTGTGTGTGTGTGTGTGCGTGTGTGTGTGTTTTCCCCCATCTCTGATGATAACTTCTAGCAATTGAAGGATTTCAGTGCCAGATACCCTAAGTAAGTGATAGAGTTTGAAAGAGAACCAGAATGGATTTTCCTGACAAATCTTTTGGTGTAGCAGATTTTAAGGGCAGAGTCTAGTTTAGCATCTGTTGTGAACAGACCTAAGTTAACTTAATTATGCAGAACTTTTATGTTCACATTGGTAAAAAAATGTGTGTAAGTTACTGACACATTTGAATTGGATAAAGATTATTTACTCCTTCATAACCTCCTTACCATATTATAATGAAGATAAGTCATAGTCCAAATTCTTCATATACGTTGATAGTTACAAATATATATATTGGTAAGGAGTCATAGACCAACTCATACAACCTGGGTAAACTTCATGAAGTCTCAAGTCTCTGTCCTTTAGAGGTTCCGACATCTACCTTGCTTGAGTAATTTATTGGAGGCATGTGTGACATGTAACATAACAAAGGGGTAGGATTCTGTCATCCTTGTAGTGGGCATCAGGGAATGAGAATGCTTCCTACTCAGTGGCTGGACACAGAACATTTTAGAGATCAATCCTAGGGTACCAGGTCTATGAGTAAAGTCTTTTGACCTTAAGAGAAACATATAAGCTGTTGGCTATAAGAGTGGGATAATGGGGCATGACTTTTTAAATATTTTAGCTAATATATATAAACTGGATACTATTAATTGAACCAGTAAGAGCTGATTACTTATATCCATTATGTTGATTAACAAGCCACTAACTTCACCAATGAAAGCCCACTTCTTATGTCTATTATAGTGGTACTCTTGGTGTTCATCCAAAGATGGATAATGGAAGCATTTATAGCAGCTGCCCTGGAGTCTGGCCTTTCAGAATGAATGCTACTGACCACCCCTGGGATATGGATTCCTGATCAGAGAAAGTAACTGTCTCCCCTAAAATGAAGTTTAGACCAGCACAGATATTATAATGTATTATGATGAAATATTAAAATAAATTACATATAACATATTATCATCTTTACAAAAAAATCAATGGGCCAACTGTTTGACTTTCCAAATGCCTGATTTGCCTTATCTTGTGTTCATGTCTGTTAAGTTGTAAAACTCTATTAATTTCAACAGTCATTATCTTTTTTTTTCTTTTGTCTCTTTTAGCTATTTTACTAACAAAGGAAAAAAAAAAAAGGAAATGAGACAGATGCTGGTTAAGGACTTGAAGCCAAAAGAGGGCTTTTTCAAACTTGGGAGCTAGAAAAACACATTTTATAAATTGAGCATTAATCCAGAAAAGAAGGGGGGGTGATAATGCTTTAGGAGAGAAAGAGAGGGAAAGAAAGGAGGGGAGATAAAAAAGAGAGAGACAGCTGTAATGGTGAAGATCTTAAAAAGACAAGAAGGGACTAGATTCAGAGCTCAACAGGGCATGCAGTAACCCAAAGGGAAGGAGGTTGAAAATTATGATGGAGATGAGAGAATTCCTAGCGGCTTTATTTTCTCCATGAAATATGTATGAGCACCTCAGAGTGAGTTAACCAAATTGGTTACCCATATAGCTTCTTGACAGAAACATTTGCTTCTTGACTTCCAAGTCTCTCATCAACCCATTCCTTCAGGATGTCATTCCTTGCTACATCACCGAAATCATTCTTAGCAGGGTCAGTGACTATGCTATCACCATATGCAACATTGAGATGTCTGTTCTCAATGGCACTGTACATAGTTGATCACCTCTGCTTATTAAATACTTTGTTTTCTTGCTTCCAAGACTCTACTCTCTCCTGAATTCCCTACTTCCTCACAGTCCACTCTTTCCCTTTCCTCTTCTGAATGTCTACTGGCTGGAATGTTTTAAGCTCAGTCCTGCCACTCTTTCTCTCACCTCTATACACTCTTTCAAATCGATTTTCATTTAGTCTCAAGGCTTTTAAATATATATATATATATTTCTTTCTTTCAAATTTGTGTTCCAGCCTTGAGTTAACTCCAGACTTCCATAAACTACTCTGCTTGACATTCTTCATTAGGATGTCTCACCCAGATTTAATCTATATCTAAAATATCCAGAGCAGACTTCTTAATTTCTTGCCACAAGCCTATTCCATATTTCAGTGATAGCTTTGCTGCCCTTCTATGACTCAAGCCCAAATCCTAGTGAGACATGCTTAATTCTTCTTTTTTCTCATTCTCCAAACTCAGACCATGAGCAAGTTCTGCTGCTTTACCACCAAGTTACAGCCATCCACTGCTCTCCCTCCTTACTATTATGCAAATCCTCACTCCACTGGAAGCCCCACCTCATCCAGCGCTATGAAAGTGATGAGGGCAGAGACATTTTTGGTAAAGTCTTGTAGGTTATCCTATGAAATTAGGTTTTATTCTAAATTTGATGGGAAATAACTTGAGGATTTTGAACAGGAAGTGACACAACAGAGATTTTAAAGTCCCCTTTAAATGCTGGGTAGAGAAATGAGGGATACATTGGAACCAGGGAGGAGTATAGAAAGGATTGGACTATCTGTATAATGTAGAAGCTGATGCTCCACTTTGTCAGCCCTTTGAGCAGGCTCAGATAAATGGATTATGATTTTCATTTAAGAGGGCAACTCTCAACTGAGATTATAATAAATGTAGTTTCTCATAGAATAAACTCTGACTTAATATTAAGGAAGGATGACCAGAAAGGGAATTTAACTAACACTAGATTTAGTACTGGTTAATTGAGGTAGGCCTGGTGATAACATTCTCTTGACTTCAAAATTATTAGATAGAGTACAGGTCAGAGAAGGGACATTTTTTTTTACCCTAAAGACTTGTGATTTCTGTTTCCTTTTATCTATGTAACTGATATGTTGGACAAGGAGTTTTTATGAGGTTTGATTAAAAATCAGCTTCGGGGGCAGCCCAGGTGACTCAATGGCATAATCCTGGAGACCTGGGATAGATTCCCAAGTCGGGCTCCCTGCTTAGAGCCTGCTTCTCCCTGTGCCTGTGTCTCTGCCTCTCTTCCTCTCTGTGTCTCTCATGAATAAATAAATAAAGTCTTTAAAAAAAATCAGCTTCGGTTTTGGCCTCTCCCTTGCCCTTTAAAACTAGTCAGAAAAGTACTTTCCTTGACTTTGAACTTAAATTGTTGTATGAATTTTCTGTTGCCCCTATGTAATAAAAAATTTGAGGGTCTCTTTAAGTTATACAGTGTAAGTTCATTTATTTTATGTCTCTAGTACTGAGCAGTAATTAAAAACCTGGACTTGATTTAAAGTTAAATCTTAGTTTGCTACAATCTAGAAGCCTGTGGTCCAAGAGAGAGGAAGTTTTTGTTTCTCTTCTGTGCTTGTGGAATGTTAAAAATCCATGGGAAAGAGGTAAATAGATGCAAATATGTTGAGATTTTAGATTCACCAAGCAGAATATTTAACTGTAAAAACAATACATGCTGAAGAGTGGTAGTCGTGAAGTTTTTTCTATGAAACCGTCATTTGAAAAATCAGAGGAGAGTGAATTCCTTAAGTAGCTTTTGTGACATTGGGGCTAGGAGTTAAACCAAGTCCCTTGGAGTGATTTCTAAACATGCAGATTTGCCCCTATAATTGAATGAATAAAAAGTGAGGATTCATTTTGTTTAATTAGAGATCATTAATGTGATCTATCAATTACATGTTTCTGTCAAAGAAGTTTTCACATGACAAAATAGTAAATTTCCTTTGCTAAGTCAGAGTGAATTTTAAGTTTGTGTGAATTATATTTTTTGAAAAGGATTTGCTTTGTAACCAGGGTACTATTTTCACCATATCTTATTGATTGTTTTCAATAATGATACTATACCATTGATCTCTTTTGAGTAGTTTATATAATCTGGTAAAGTAGTTAACAGCTAGTTTCAGTTAATTGAGAAACATTTGGATTTGGAGCACAAATGGCTACAATCTTATTGGTTTCATGAATTTTTCTCTTGATCCAAATTCTGAAGAAAAAATAGAATTTGTCTTTAAAAGGTGAATTCAATGAAATAGCATCACATTTTGGTACAAAACTTTGAGATATAATTAGTCATATTCTTTTATGAGCTTTGACTTGATTTTTTTAAATGAGAAAAGCCATAAATTTATTCAAACACTGTCTTACTGCTCACCTATTTAAACATATAAATTATTTTTTCAGTGTTATTAGTGATTAATTCTGTGGTAATCAAGTTTTCATGCTTTACATATCCTTTCTTGGAACATAATACACAGTTTTAAAGATAAAAGCTGTTGGAATGAGCTTAGAAAAATCCATACATAAACCTTGACCCAAACCAGATGTGGATTTTCATCAATTGGCACCAAATATTTTTGCATATTTGAGAAATTCTGAAAACAGAATTTTAGGTTACTTGTGATGTTAATGGACTTTAGTTTTTGATTTAGAATTTTAATTTGTTCATATGTTATGTTGGTAGGTTGCTTCAGAGATGGTCAACTTTATGAAGAAGGATCAGTAATTAAAGAAAACTGCAACTCCTGGTAATGAATTTAAGTGACACAGAACTGAATTCTATTGTGTGTGTATGTTTTCTTCAAATAAAAGGAGTATTGTGAAATAAAACATATTTAAATACAGATAAAGGGGTGCCTGGGTGGCTCAGTCAGTTAAGTGTCTGCCTTCATGATCCTGTGGTCCTGGGATGGAGCTTCGCGTTGGGCTCCCTGCTCAACGAGGAATGTGCTTTTCTCTCCCTCTATGCTCTCTCTCCCTCTCTTGCTTTTTCTCAAATAAAAATAGAATCTTTAAAAAATAAATACAGATAGAATAATAAGTTATAGGATATCACATATCTGTAGTTTTATATAAGTATATTTAATGAATGTTGACAAATCTAATCCTGGATGTATCTTTTAATGCTATAGCTGGTTGTTCATGATTGTGACCTTCATCATACAGCAGGCCTGCATTAAATATAGCTCTTAATTATAATCATTCTATAGGCAAGATATACTATAGGCATATTATGTTTCTTTGATCACAGTAGCTATATATAAAAATAGGCTGCCTTCAAATGATTATCCTGCAGAAAGTTTCCAAGTGCAAACAGACTGAATCTACTGTCTAAATTTTCTTATGGTTTCAAACTTGGGGGATTGTATGGTCATTTCATTTATGAATTGCCTAGAGTAGAGTTAAGAGCTTATTGAGGGGTAGCTAATGCATATATTATTTTATTTTTGCTGAGAATCAAGTAGACACATGGCTATCATTAATCAAAACTATGTTTTATGCCTTAAGAGTGTGCAATTCTTATTACTAATTTTATAAATGTACTTCATAAAGGCTAGGCCGCTTTTGTAATTTTTATGTCTTTGCAGCACATGCTCAGGACAGCAATGGAAATGCTCCCAGCTTGTCTGCCTTGTTCAACCAGAACTAATTGAACATGTCAATAAAGGAGACTATGGGTGAGAAAAAATCTTGCATTTTTTTTTGGCAGTCCCAGTTACTTTTCAGGTTTCAGACAATGTATTTCCTATTATTTACTTCTAAAAATGGTCATTATTTCAAAAGAAAGAGTGGGAGAGAAATGGGAAGAGAAGTAGAAAGACAGCTAAAATAGGAATGCACAAAGATAAATAATTAAATATTGCACAAAGAAATATCAACAGACTCTTAAATTGTCTAGGAAGGAGCAGTGTCGGGGGGAGGGGCAAGATGGCGGAAGAGCAGGGTCCCCAGATCACCTGTCCCCACCAAATTACCTAGATGACCTTCAAACCATCCTGAAAATTTACGAATTCGGCCTGAGATGTAAAGAGAGACCAGCTGGAACGCTACAGTGAGAAGAGTCTGCGCTTCTATCAAGGTAGGAAGACGGGGAAAAAGAAATAAAGGAACAAAAGGCCTCCGAGGGGGAGGGGCCCGCGAGGAGCCGGGCTGAGGCCGGGGCGAGTGTCCCCAGGACAGGAGAGCCCCGTCCCGGAGGAGCAGGAGCTGCACCAACCTTCCCGGCGGGCGGAAAGGGGCTCGCAGGGAGTTGGAGCAGGACCCAGGAGGGCGGGGATGCCCTCGGGCTCCCGGGGACACTAACAGGCACCTGCGCCCCGGGAGAGTGCTCCGAGCTCCCTAAGGGCTGCAGCGCGCACGGCGGGGCCGGAGCAGCTCGGAGGGCTCGGGCGGCGGCTCCGCGGAGGGGGCTGCGGGGCGGGAGCGCGAATCCACCAGCGCAGGCCCCGGAGCACAGGGCGCCGGGACACAGCCCAGGATCCGGCCTCCCCCGGGACAGGCAGAGGCAGGGAGGGCCCAGGACAGCGAGGACGCTTCTGCCCCGAGCTGAGCAGATCAGCGGCCCCGCCCCGGAGCCTCCAGGCCCTGCGGACGGAGAACCGAGAGCCCCGAGCCCCGTAGTTCCTGCGGAGGCTGAATCCAGGCTTCCAGAGTTGCCATAGCAACTGCGACTGTTCCACCTGGGGCCCCACGGGGTAAACAACCCCCGCTGAGCCCTGCAGCAGGCAGGGGCAGAGCAGCTCCCCCAAGTGCTAACACCTGAGAATCAGCACAGCAGGCCCCTCCCCCAGAAGACCAGCTGGACGGACCAGTGATACTCCCCCGTGTTCCAATACAACTTGTTTTTGGCCACTCTGCACTGAGCAAAATGACTAGAAGGAAAACCTCACTTCAAAAGAAAGAATCAGAAACAGCCCTCTCTCCCACAGAGTTACAAAATCTGGATTACACTTCAATGTCAGAAAGCCAATTCAGAAGCACCATTATACAGCTACTGGTGGCTCTAGAAAAAAGCATTAAGGACTCACGAGACTTCATGACTGCAGAATTTAGATCCAATCAGGCAGAAATTAAAAATCAATTGAATGAGATGCAATCCAAACTAGAAGTCCTAACGACGAGGGTTAACGAGGTGGAAGAACGAGTGAGTGACATAGAAGACAAGTTAATGGCAAAGAGGGAAACTGAGGAAAAAAGAGACAAACAATTAAGGGACCATGAAGACAGATTAAGGCAAATAAATGACACTCTAAGGAAGAAAAACCTACGTTTAATTGGGGTTCCCGAGGGCGCCGAAAGGGACAGAGGGCCAGAATATGTATTTGAACAAATCCTAGCTGAAAACTTTCCCAATCTGGGAAGGGAAACAGGCATTCAGATCCAGGAAATAGAGAGATCCCCCCCTAAAATCAATAAAAACCGTTCAACACCTCGACATCTAATAGTGAAGCTTGCAAATTCCAAAGATAAAGAGAAGATCCTTAAAGCAGCAAGAGACAAGAAGTCCCTGACTTTCATGGGGAGGAATATTAGGGTAACAGCAGACCTCTCCACAGAGACCTGGCAGGCCAGAAAGGGCTGGCAGGATATATTCAGGGTCCTAAATGAGAAGAACATGCAACCAAGAATACTTTATCCAGCAAGGCTCTCATTCAAAATGGAAGGAGAGATAAAGAGCTTCCAAGACAGGCAGGAACTGAAACAATATGCGACCTCCAAACCAGCTCTGCAAGAAATTTTAAGGGGGACTCTTAAAACTCCCCTTTAAGAAGAAGTTCAAGTAACTCTGAACGTGAATGGGCTTAATGACCCCATCAAAAGGCGCAGAGTTTCAGACTGGATAAAAAAGCAGGACCCATCTATTTGCTGTCTACAAGAGACTCATTTTAGACAGAAGGACACCTACAACCTGAAAATAAAAGGTTGGAGAACCATTTACCATTCAAATGGTTCTCAAAATATACCCTAAAACCTATAGAACACTTCTGAAAGAAATTGAGGAAGACACAAAGAGATGGAAAAATATTCCATGCTCATGGATTGGCAGAATTAATATTGTGAAAATGTCAATGTTACCCAGGGCAATTTACACGTATAATGCAATCCCTATCAAAATACCATGGACTTTCTTCAGAGACTTAGAACAAATTATTTTAAGATTTGTGTGGAATCAGAAAAGACCCCGAACAGCCAGGGGAATTTTAAAAAAAGAAAACCATATCTGGGGGCATCACAATGCCAGATTTCAGGTTGTACTACAAAGCTGTGGTCATCAAGACAGTGTGGTACTGGCACAAAAACAGACACATAGATCAATGGAACAGAACAGAGAACCCAGAAGTGGACCCTGAACTTTATGCTCAACTAATATACGATAAAGGAGGAAAGACGATCCACTGGAAGAAAGACAGTCTCTTCAATAAATGGTGCTGGGAAAATTGGACATCCACATGCAGAAGAATGAAACTGGACCACTCTCTTGCACCATACACAAAGATAAACTCAAAATGGATGAAAGATCTAAATGTGAGACAAGATTCCATCAAAATCCCAGAGAAGAACTCAGGCAACACCCTTTTTGAACTTGGCCACAGTAACCGGAGAAGGACAAACAGTGTATGTTCTCATTCATTTGGGGAATATGAATAATAGCGAAAGGGAATATAAGGGAAGGGAGAAGAAATGTGTGAGAAATATCAGAAAGGGAGACAGAACATAAAGACTTCTAACTCTGGGAAATGAACTAGGGGTGGTGGAGGGGGAGGAGGGTGGGGGGTGGGGGTGAATGGGTGACGGGCACTGAGGGGTACACTTGACGGGATGAGCACTGGGTGTTATTCTGTATGTTGGTAAATTGAACACCAATAAAAATTAATTTATTAAAAAAATAAAATAAAATAAAATCCTTAAAAAATAAAAATAAAAAATAAAAGAATCCTAAAAAAAAAAAAAAAAAGAAGGACGGAAGGAGCAGTGTCATGGTGTGAGTGAGGGTAGTAAAGGGAGCTTTAGTTTGGATAAATAGGCAAAATTTATTTTTTCATATAAACCATCTTTCCACCTCTGCTGCTGCCCTGACCCAGCCAATCAGCTATCCTGGGAGAACCAGACCCTAAGAGGTCAGTATTTAATCTTGATGATTCCCCAAACAACCAGTTCATCTAGCCAATTTCACTGACATGACCTATGTAGCCAATTTCACTTACAGTTGAATCAAAAGACAGGCTGAGCCATTTTACTTTGCTAATAAGCTAAATATAGGGCTGATTGACACTTAAACATAGGAAATAATGGTTTGATGCTTTCTGACAGGTTAACAAATTAGGTGGCTTCTTCATTTGCATAGAGGGAATTATGATGTCAGTGTTAACACTGGTTTTCTTCACTGAACTAAAAGGAAGAGGAATAGCCTGCCTGGTTATCTGCCTCTCTGTTGTTACTGATCAAATCTCTATATACTCTTGGTAACATTTTCCACATTTGGGAAGAGATTTCATGTAAGAAGAACTATTATCAAGTAGCTATAAAAGTGATGTAATCATGAAATGTATTTTTAAAAGTTAAAAGTATCACTTGCTTCCACATATAAGACCATAAGACAGGTGTTTCCCATCACAGTGGGGGCACTGAATTTCAGTGTATCCAAAGTATTTTCTTGGAAGACATGAAATTTAGAAAGTTACATTTTTTAACATTAATATTCTTTTTTTAAAGATTTATTTATTTATTTATTCATGATAGACAGAGAGAGAGAGAGAGGAGGAGGAGGGAGAAGCAGGCTCCATGCCGGGAGCCCGACGTGGGACTCGATCCCGGGACTCCAGGATCGCGCCCTGGGCCAAGGGCAGGCGCCAAACCGCTGAGCCACCCAGGGATCCCCTAACATTAATATTCTTAAACCATGTTGAATTCCTGCGTGTGTATACATGTTTAACCAATATTTTAGGTGATAAAATGATATTGTAAGTATTTCTAGGAAAAATACATTATAGTATTCAGTGGCTAAGTGATACTTAAATCATTAAAAGAACATAAGAGTATGTGTCATCCTAAGAAATTATCTGAATCAAGTGCCTAAAACAATTCAAATGCTTCACCTACTGAACACATACTTCCAAGAAACCCTGAGCAGCTTGTGTTTCCATTGTCACAGAAACCATGGGAAACCATAGTTGAAGGTGACATGGAAAGTACACATAAGAATACAGAAGCTGGTAGGAATGCCATCTTTCTTGGAAGGAAAAAATTTCTTGCCATTATTTGTTCACTATGAGATAACTCTAGGACAAGTTAGACATGGGCTTTGCCTTTTGTAGCAAACATTGATGACCTTAAAAGGACAAGAAGTGAGGTATAATTGGAGCGAAAGAAAATATTCATTGCCCAAAGGGAAAAAGAAAGTTAAGTAAAAGAGAGAAGCTATAAAGAAGTGGAGTAAAACTAAAATTATTTACCAGAGGACAAAAAGGCAGAGGGAGTCCTTGAATTTAGGAGAAAGTTCTCTCAGATACATTCTGGTCCTGATGTTCAAATTATTTTCATAGATAATAGAAGCATATCCTTCAATACTTATGAAGTGCTTTTTAAGGTAACCCTAGTCTGATGAGTTACAGGGATCTGTTTGTATCAGCAAGTTTTTTTTCCATTTGCCTTGGATTCCCCACCGCCACTCAGGCCCAAAACCGTGGCCTCCTTTGCCTGGACTGGTGCAGTAGCCTCTGCCTGGTCTCCAGCTTCCTCCTGGCCTTATCAGCTAAATATACACAATCTTTGCTTTAAAATATTTATTTTCGGGTAGCCCCGGTGGCTCAGCGGTTAGCAATTAATATTAACAAAACATGTGCTTCTCTTGTGGCACTGCTGAGGGTAGAAATAAATAATTTCTGTCTTGCCTGAATTTACAGTCTAGCTGAGGAGTCAACATGTCATCACTCTGTGAAAGCATTTCTGATGATAGAGCAGGATGGAAGTGCCAAATTAGTAGCACAAGTAATAATCAGCAAGTTAGTGGAACAAAGAGAGATAGATAACGGTTTCAGTTATCTGCTGTGGTGCAGCAAACGACTCCAGAATTTCACAGCTTGAAACAGAAGTGTTTCATTGGTTCAGTCAGAACTTGGGATGGGCTTAGCTGACGTTCTTTTCTTGATCTCTCTTTGGGGTGACTGGTTGGTGCTGGTTGTTGGTGGGCCCATCTGTCTCCAGCCAGCTAACCTAGCATCTTCAGATGGTGCCAGTGTTCTAAGAGGGCATGAGAGAAAGCTTCAAAGGGCCTCCCTGTAGGGCTTAGCTTAAAAGTTGCACAGCATCAATTCTCCTGCCTTTGCTTGGGTGAAGCAAGACACTAGCCCTGCCCACCTTCAAAGGTTGGGGGAATAGATTCCACTTCTTGGTGCCAAAAGCCATGAATAATTTGTGACCATTTTTAATCTGTCACATCTCTAAACTTTATTATTTTCTTAAATGAATTCAAAACCTAGTCAAATGGATAAGTTAGACTTGATTTTTTTTCACCAGTTTCTCAAATCAATATCTCCCAAATCAAAGGGTTGACCTCTTTGACCTGCCCTTGGTGACTGGCTTTCCCCCTCTGCCTTGTCAGCTAAGCCAGAAAATTGGAAATTAGTTTGATTCTTCTCTTCACTCTCAGTCACTAGTCTCTTATAATTCCTACAGTAACAGTTTTTATTTTATTTTATTTATTTATTTGACAGAGAGAGAGAGAGAGCACATGGCAGAGAGAGCAGCAAGCAGAGGGAGAGGGAGAAGCAGGCTCCGAGTGAGCATGGAGCCCAATATAGGGCTCAATCTCAGCATTCTGGGATCATGACCTGAGCCAAAGGCAGATGTTTAACCAACTGAGCCACCCAGGCACCGCCATAGTCACAGTTTCTTCCAGATATTATTTTTTCTACCTCTCTCTATATTCTAGTGCATTTCTTTACCAAGCCTCATTCGAGATGGCCTGATTTTTCCGTTTCCAGTCTGGCAACTAATCCCTTCTACTTTCATGGTGATCCCTCTAAACCAAAGCTTTGATTCTGCTGTTCATGCTCTTAAAAATCCTCAGTGATACTCCATTGCTTGTAGAATATCATTATACTCCTTAGCATAAGTAACAATCTGGCCCAAATGCTTCTTTGCTACTTCATTTTTTATGCTTTGTTCAGCTTCTGTCTCCCTAGACCCTCTCATGGTTCAGCATTGAACTTACCTGTTCTTCCTTAAATGTGCTACCCAGTTTCAAACCTGTATGCTTTGCTCCTGAATTGCCATCTTTTTTTTTTAAGATCGATTTCTTTATTTGAGAGAGAGAGAGAGAGAGAGAGAGAGAGAGAGAGAGACTGCAAGCAGGGGAAGGGGCAGAGGAGAGAGTATCTAAGCAGACTCCCACTGAGTGTGGAGCCCAAGGCAAGGTTTGATCTCACAAGCCATGAGATCAGGACCTGAGTGGAATCCAAGAGTCAGATGCTTAACTGACTGAGCCGCATGGGCAGCGTTGAATTACCAATTTTCTTAAAGAATAAATGTTCTCTTCTTTCACATCTGCCAGCCAAACTCATTCTCATCCTTCCAGACTGAACACTAAAGTCACTTTCTTTTTTTTTATTTTTTTTTAAATTTTTATTTATTTATGATAGAGAGAGAGAGAGAGAGAGAGAGAGAGAGAGAGAGAGAGAGAGGCGCAGAGACATAGGCAGAGGGAGAAGCAGGCTCCATGTACCGGGAACCCGATGTGGGATTCGATCCTGGGTCTCCAGGATCGTGCCCTGGGCCAAAGGCAGGCGCCAAACCGCTGCGCCACCCAGGGATCCCTAAAGTCACTTTCTATAAAAAATATTATGCCAACTCCTTCGGGCAGAGTTATATTTGAATCCTTTACTCTGATCATACCCTGACCTACTGCTAATAAATTACGCACACTGATGGCATTTCTATCTTTGCAGTCTTTTTAGGGTATGAGCTCCTTGAGGGTAGAGAAATTTACTTATTATAATGTTTTAAGAGAGAATATGACAAATTAAGAATGTTCAGTAAATGCTACATTGAGTTAAAGGGTCTATGTCATAAAGGGTTATGAGTCTAGATAAAAGAGGATAGTATAGGGTTTAGTCCCTTCAAACATTTTTGAACATAAGTCACAGTAAAACACAGATTTGTGACTTAATATATACACACACATGCACATCTATACCTATACAAATACATGCTGCACACACACACATAATTACATATATAAAACCAGGACTTATCCTCACTATGTGCAATAAGTTCTAATATTTCCTATTATCATTTATCCTATTTTTTGAAATACCAATCCCTGATGACTAAGTGGAGTGATTAATTAAGTGACCAAAAATGTACCTGAATGTTTGAAAACTACTAGTGTAGAGCACCAAAAACATACTTTACTGAAGTCATGGTTTAGCCTAAGGGTGGCCCTAATGGTCTCTTCTGTATGCTGCAATATCTAGTGTAGTCAGAGTTTCCCTTGGTTGATGGAGATTGCACTCCAAAATTGTGGATTCAAATTGCTTAAGGTTTTACAAACTAACAGATTTTTAAAAAAGAAAGACATTAACTTTCTAGGCATATTATTGAAAATCAAGTTGTATCTTCACTCATTCGTGAGAATCTATCACATTATAAGCAATTGTGGTAATTAACACAACAGGATTACGTTTAGATTTGACTTGAGTACTGAATTGTCCTCAAGTTGTAAATAATTCAAAATTCAAGCCCTGATTAAATTACTTTTGTCTTTCTCATCTCCTCTCATCTCTTCAGAAAATTTTCATTGGATTTAAATGTCAATGTCAGATTTTGCAAACAAAGTTTCTTTTCCTATATAAGGGCAAAAACCCTGTCTAAAAAAGTATATACTTTTTACTATCTAATCTCACATAATTGAATTTGTATTATAATTAATAATAAAGATTACTGGGCATTTAACACAAATTAACCCTTTTAATACATGATAGAATATTTCGGTATTTATATAAAATATTTCAATATAATTAAGAGCACTGATGTAATCTTTTTAGGTATAACTATTTTATCCTCAGTTTTTCATGGATACTTCCTTTGACATGGTCAAATTCTTTTCAAATCTAAATTATATATAAAACAATTATTCTATTTAATCCATAAGCACATTTCTGTACATTCAAGCTTCTTTCTAAAATGCATTTAATGACATTCAAAAGAAACTACATATATTGGCCTTTTGCCACTTAATCCCTTATAGTATGTAAAGATTCCATATTCTTAAATTTAGTCTAAAATGATGTAGCCTTAGATTTCTCATATAAATCATTAAAATAATTGAAATAGATCTAATTTAGGAAGAGTGTCTCATAGATTCTCCTGTTATGGTAAGCAAGCATGCATTCTTTATATAAAGAATATGTAGCTTGCAGTAATAGTTCTAATTGTGTATAATTTCAGAAATATAAATAAACATTATTTATAAAAGTGATATTATATAACCTATACCAATTTTTTCTGTTTCATTTGTAAGGCAGATGGACAGCCCAGAACTACAGCCAATTCTGGGGAATGACTCTAGAAGAAGGTTTCAAGTACCGTCTTGGTACCCTGCCACCTAGCCCCATGCTTCTGAGTATGAATGAGATGACAGTAAGTGTCCTCTCTGACTCAAATACATGTGTATTTGTATAGATATGTTTGTATGTGCATTTAAAGAAATTTTCAGTAACTAAAATAGTGAGTTTTGAGCTTTCAAAGTTATAATTATGTCATATAAATAAAAAATCTTTACTAAAATGGTTGTTACCTTCCTTAGAAATTTCACATGAACTTTGGAAGTTCACCAGTGTCAATTAGGTAAAGAATGACTGACTGTGTGTTCATTTACATTGCTCATGATTTCATAAAAATTCATATTTCTGATTATTGGTTGTTCAGTGACCTGACGCTCAAGCAAGTCAAAGTTGTCCTCATTTTTCTTTTTCAACTAAACACAGTCAATTTTTGTATTCATCCAAATAGAGTTGTACTGTAATTTGGCTATCCATTATCACATGAGGCTAAGAGAAGTGCTAGTAACTACAGACACGTATGCCATGGTGATTCATAAAGGTTTATTCTCAAAATTTCTATTACAGGAACACCTTCAAATTTTGTCAGGTGACCTCCCAAACCCCTTCATGAAATTGCTGCATTTCCTACACTCATGCTTTGTACTATTGTATTGGCTTTTCCTTTCATTTTTAAGAGACGTTATCATCCCATAATAGATATCTTGTATAAAGAGTCTTCTATCTCTCCAGTATCACAGGCCTCTAACTCATAGAGCTGCAGTTTGACCACCAAATGTGTGGTGTCTTAGGCACACATACTTCCCAGGACAAATGTTAACTGTATTCAAGTCCTGGTACAAATGCTCAAGGCTGAGCACTGCTCCTGAGTGTCGGGAGGGCAGCCACTTCTCTCTGTAATGAAGGCTTTGGGTCCTGGCTGCCTGGAAGCTCCCAGTGTCTCAGGAGCAAGCAGGGTTCTTGTTTGCCTTTGGATGAGTTGTGAATCCACAGGTTTTCCATGAAGCATTTACTGTACTTTGCTCTCAAGAGATGTAATCCCCTGAGTTATTATATCAATTCAAGTTGCAGTAGCAGGGCCTGCTAAATTATAACCAGTATCAGAAAAGATCATAATAGCTGCCACATATTGAGGAGCTATGTGTTAAGCACTCTTATAAGCACTTTCATACATTATCTCATCTAATTCTCACAGCAGCTTGATGTAGTGGGTACTATAATTATCCACATTTTAAAGACAAGAAAATTGAGATTGAGAGAGGCTAAGTCACACTGAGATTGGGAAAAGTGAAAAGCCACTATACAATTACTTAAATTGCAGAGCTAGGACATCTTAAAACATCTGACCCCCAAAATAGTCCCTAGAATTCCAGTAAAATCAGTTAGCTTTGGCCAATGTAGGTTCAAAATAGCAAAAAGTAGAGCTAACTTAATGAAATGATCAGCTTAGATATACTTTTGGATCTTTCCTAGAACCAGTAAGATATAAAATCTTTATAGATGTGGCTCAGATTCATGGTTTTTAGTGACCTAATTATGTGATCAATTGGAAGAGTTATTTTTTTTTCTGGCTGCTTTCTTTTTCATTTTTATTTCCATCTAGGGGGAAAAAAGAGGCAGAATTATTTAAGAAAAGAATAAATCCACTCCTTTTATAAGGATTGCTCTTTCCCTTGCTTTTATTAAGGGGTCCAGTCAGTCAAATACTCATTTGGGTGTCTACATACATTTTCTGTGGATTATTTCTAACCTTTCCTTTTTAAGCTTTATTTTTTTGCAGCTTGGGATATTTTATATTCTGGAGAATATGAGGTGCGTTTCTTTTTCAAGTTGTCACTTACCATAGTATAGAAAAGGAAGTCGAATTTTAATTCATCATTGATTGGCTGGTAGGGATTTGTCTGCATGAAAAGTTGTTGTGGTGATATTCAAATGAAAAATACTAATGATTAATACTTTGGGAGAATTAAAATTGATGAGTGCTATGAATTAGTGTAATATAGTTGCCAGCTTATTCCAGGAAAGCAATAAGGAAAATTTGGCTGGTCTGTAAGAGTTCCATTACCCACTTATAATCTAAGGCAAGGAAATAGCTACTTATTTGTAGGGCATAGTAGCTTGAGGACTGAGGACCTTTCAAAAAGTTTCTAAGTGTTAGAGTTGTCCTAATATCTGGAGATATGAGAAAATCAGAAATATAACAAGTTCACTTCCAGGAAGTGAACCAAGTTGATTTGGTTTCTACAGAAAGAGGTAAAAAATATGTTAATTCTTAGCCTGGTGACTGCGTAGAAACTACCTCAGTATACTAACTTGCCTCAGAGTACAGTGAAAATGAGTTATTTTCTTTGTAGATATGCTTCTGGATAACTCTTTTCTGCCTGCTTTTCCCAACTATCTTTTTTTTTTTAATACCATTTTCAACATAGGATGGTCTATGTGTAAGAGCAAGGGTAGGCAGCTGCCAACAGTGGTGATGATTTTGCTGAGGAACTCCACTGCATCCTCACACCCAAAACATCTTCCTATCCTTGACCATATTAACTGGATGAGAGCTGGGGTTCATATAATTCTTTATCCAGAGAAGGATGAGCCATGAGCCATTTCTTGTTTCTGGGAAAGCTTTTCTCGTCCCTGGCTTGTTTTCTTAGTTTCATTCCTTGGTTTAAGTCACTATTTTCATGATGTATCTGCTGGACATGAGTTAGAGAAATACCGGTAGGCATTGTGCAAAGAGTTGGATGATCATATAGATATGAAAGATTTGTTTAATCTATATGAATTCATTCAGTGCAAATGAATATGTGTAGAGTGTGGTTAGTAACACTAATGAATAGAAAGATGCTGATAGCAGAGGATGGAAAAAAGTTATCTTTAGGGTGTTGGGGACCCCTTCCTGGATGATAATCCTGAGTGAAGACAAACAAAAAAGAAATATAAACTTACTATTTTCTCTGGGTCCAAGCAGAGTGCTTGAGAGCAAGTGAAAAAAGAGAGAAAGCTGAGACCAGGTAACTCTTTGCTGTATATGAAGACTCACTTCACCCACATTGGAATTAATTATATCTGGTGTCAGGGCAATAAAAGCTGGCTGGTAAATGCGTGCCTATTTTTTTTTTCTTGAAAGTTTTCTTGTTTGTTTCACATTTTTGTTTAAATTCTAGTTAGTTAACATATAGTGTAATAGTGGTTTCAAGGGTAAAATTTAGTGATTCAACACTTACATATAACACTCAGTGCTCATCAGAACAAGTGCTCTCCTTAATTCCTATCACCCATTTAGCCCATCCCCTGCCCATCTCCCCTCCATCAACTGCAGTTTGTTCTCTATAAGTAAGAGTCTCTTATGGTTTGCCTCCTTCTTGTTCCCTGTCCCCTTCCCCCATTTGAAGGTGTTCTTAGTTTGAGATTATTCAAAGCAATGTCTTGATTGGACAGTTCTGTTCTAAATGGTTTTACACTAAAAGTGTTAGGAACTATTGAATGAATTAACCATTCTCTGGCACTCCATTGAAACTTTGTATGTTGTATGGATAGATTTACAATGAGACTGATTAGGAGCTGGCCATCAGAAGAACTGCAGCTCCCCACAAGAAATTCAAACTCTGCCATTGAACTTTTTGTCACCTTAAAGTGCAAAGTAGGTTATGCCATGCTTTGACCCTTATTTCAATATTTCTCAACGTTCATCTCATGGACCACCAATCTTTCAAGATTAGGAATAAAGGTGTCCCATCCGTGGTCAAATAAATTTGTGAAATGGTGCTTTTTATCTTCCTACTGAAAATTCACACTAGAGTAGAAGTGTATTTAGGGACAGATCAAGAACTTTCTCAGTGTCTCAGAAAGAAAACAAGGGAGACAACCAATTGTTGTGACAGTATGCAAAACTAGCATTGACTGAGGTCCTATTGAGCCAGCAGAAACATCACAGTTGAAGTCTGTTAATAGGCATGTGTCAGCCACTGTGTTTATTCATGAGGGCACCATTCCATACACCATAATGAACATAAGCTCTGGACCCAGTGCTCTGGACTCAGTCTGGCTCTTTCACTTATTGCCTTCATTTCCTCCTCTGTGAAATGGTGAAGGCAGTAGTACCCTGTTTGTGGGGTTGTAAGAAGTCCATGAAATGCTAAAAGAGAAGTGCTTATTATATACTAAATTAAATATATCCAAAACAGAAATGCTATTATATACCATATAAAACTGTTTTTTCTCTCTTGGATTAACTTTGGGAGAATAGTAGGGTCAGTTCCCTGCTATTGCTTACTACTAATTTAGATTATCAAAAGCTTCAATACTTGGAGATTTTTATCTCCTAAAGAAAGGTATAGCTCTGGATATATTGGTCCTGATCGTATTTACATATTTCTGGTGAACCTGAAAGTTCTACTATGCTTCTAAATCAAATTAAATCATACCAAATAAAATCTAATCGAATCAGCATCTTTGTACCTGATTTTTTTTTCAGACATAATATTCAAGTGCTTTTGAATTTGGAAAATAACTTTAAAAAGCTTCACTATATTATATCCCATTATAAATATTGCAGATATTTTGAATTAAAAATACTATTTTCAAACATAAATGGGGAAATTAAGAGTTTGCTTCTATACGTGGCTCAGCTAAAAAAATTAAATAGCTGTGTTGTTGATTCCCCAGGGAGAACAAAGATGTGAACAAAGTTGTTACAGATGTTTTAAAATTTTTCTGTCCACCTTATAGCTTACTAGTGTAACATCTTTTCTCAGTCACCCAGTATAAATGATTTTGTTGTGTTTTAGTTGGTATTACTAACACAGGAAAAATAATGTTTTTATGGTCTGCTGGAAGTTGAAGTAAAATATTTATGTATTATATAATAACTTTTTAAAAAAGATTTTATTTATTTATTCATGAGAGACACACAGAGAGAGAGAGAGAAAGAGAGAGAGGCAGAGACACAGGCAGAGGGAGAAGCAGCCTCCGTGCAGGGAGCCTGATGTGGGACTCAATCCTGGGACTCCAGGATCACGCCCTGGGCTGAAAGCAGGCGCTAAACCACTGAGCTCAACGTTATGATCCCCTATATGATAA